CGCTTACCGAGCGCCCGCGTGGGGCCCGGGCTCCCGACCCCAGCCCTGGACGGGGGAGGGCGGGGCCGCTGGCTGGGACTTTGAGAACTCGCTGTCAGTAAGGGAGCGTGGAGTAGCTGCCTGGTCTCCGGTGGTGGCTGTTTAGTTGTAAAATTCTGAGGAGATGGAAGAGAATGTTTCTCAAGTTCCAGAGTTCAGCTGCAGAAGCGGTGTGAACACCCTGATGAGCTGAGTGCTGCAGGAGCTGCTCCTGTGGCACCAGCTCTGTGGCAGTCCCACTTCTGCCCGCACTTGGCTGTCCTGGGGACCTCCCTGCAGGGTGCGTCCCCGCCCCCATCCACTCCTTGCTGCTCGGCAGGCGCTGTTCCCTCGGGTAGAGGTGTCCACCCACCTTGGCTGTAGGCCGGTGGCCTCCGCTCCTCTCCCTCCCTCCCTCTTCCATTTGTGGTTCCCTTCTTAGCAGAGGTGATTGAGCCTTGGGCTCTCACAGTAAGCTACATCCTCACTTTTTTCACTTTTAATTTTGAAACGACAGCTTATTAAGTCCAGGTTGCCCAGGCTGGGCTTGGACTTGTGATTCTAACTTACTTTTTTGCACCAGGATAAACTCATGGCCTTGCTCTTGCCAGGCAGCTGCACCACTGGGCTACAGCCCCTCTAACTTGTGATTCTAGGTTGCCCAGCACGGCAGCCCTGTTGCGTCAGCCCGACGGCCAGGGGTCCAGTGGGCCTTGCCAGGTGCGCAGCTGCGTAGGCATTTGAAACCCTCACAGCAGCGTGTGAGGTGGCTGGTACTATGTGCCGCATTTGACCATGAGGATGCTAAGGCATAGGTTGGTGTTGCAGCTAATTGTGTTTTTTTTCTGGGCACGAACTCTTCATGCCCCTGCTGCTTCTCTAGGAAAGTGGAGACGGAAGGACCTGAGCTGCGAAGACACACTGGCTGGCGATGCAGCGCAGCCTTGTCCTCCAGGGTTTGTTGCTCTAGTGGAGTCAAACGGTTCTGTGTGGTGAAGCCCTCACTTCCTTTCAAAGCCCACGTGTTTGTTGCGTGCTGACGTCATCCGCATGTTTCTGTGTGGTTTAGCTGCATCTGCCAGTCTTCCTAGGGACTGTCATTCTCAAAAAGCTGAAAGTCTCTGTTCCCTCAGATGCGAGAGACACATTGCCTGTGTTACTCACGTTTTTTTTTGAGTTCTTTTTGTTCACTTCCATGCTTTTTGTACTTTTAAGACACGGTCATACTTATTTTTCCACTTTAACAGCCTCATGATTTAATTACATCCATGTATTAATCTCTGTCACGTCCCACAAAAAACCGGTGTAGCGAGTTTATCACCTCTTTTAAGGTTTATTAGTGTGTCCGCTGATTTCAAAACCGTGAGATTACGAACCTCGCTTCTTTCGCTTCGGTGTGTTACTCTTAACTGTTACTACTGCCTAACAACGGATTTCCGGGGTGCCCTCTAGGGACTAAAGAGAAGCACAACAGTGACTCCGCTGCTTTTTTAACTTACACAACGGGGGAAAAAAGGTTTTCATTTTTCCAAAAATTGCACCAAGATAAAGCAGAGCCTTAGCTGATGCGAGTGTGTTGTGTAGGCGTTAGCAGTACTGCCCTCACTACACGTTCATTGGACAGTAGCGCAACCCCAAGAAAAGGATGGTTGACAAGTGGTTTACAAGCACTGAAAGCAAGAGGCGGCAATACTAGGTAGAGTTGTGGTGAGTAATTAGGGACGCCCGCCCCAACCGGTCTCTTTAGCTAGCCTGGCTCCAGTGACCACGGCTACCAACGCAAACCAGCTACTCCTTTTTCCCTTGGTGCTCAGAGAGACTGATGAAAGGCTGATAGATATTACCCAGAAGACTACGCGCTACCAGGGCGAAAATTTGCATACACGCCCTGTGGGGGCGGGGCTGCGGCTTGCTTTGGAACTCCCTCTGCTGGTGCTTGGTTTGAGGCCATACAGTGACTGCTTTTTATTTCATTTCTCGCCCCATTATATTTTCTGTTAAACCTGTAAACGACTCCGTGCAGGACCGTTTTTCCCCTTGCTACCAGTTTAGGCTTTCCAGTTGGTGCACGCTCCGGGCAGCACTGGCAGACATGTGCGGGCGTCCTCGGAGGGCGCCCGGTCTTTGCGCTGCACCCCGGACTGGCTGCTGACCGGCTCCCGGTGTTTCCCGTTGCAGGTAGTTCTTCTGGGCATGGACATCCTATCGGCTCTGGTGACCCGGCTACAGGATCGTTTCAAGGCGCAGATCGGCACAGGTGAGCTGTGAGCGGGGCGCGGAGCTGGCCCACCCTTCCCTCGTTCTGCTCAAACCCGCCACTAGGCTGCACCCACTGCTTCCAGACAGCTGCCCAGCTTCCCTCAAGCTTCCCGAGCTCCTCTCAAACCCTAGGCTCTTCCTCCTGCAGCCTCCCTGCTTCCCCCAGACATTCCATGCCTCAGCCTCCCCTCACCTCCTGCGTTCATACCACAGTATTGGATCTGCAAGCATTTACCCGCCCCTTTCATGTATATTGTGTTGGTTTCTCCCAGCTTTTGTGTTGCCATATGAAATTTCACTAATACGTGTTCTAATCAGAGATATTACTGTCAGTTTGATTTCTTCTCCATCATCTTTTAGTGCCAACTAAACCATATTTTTTCCCCAACCCATCTTTACTGATAGGCGATTTTCTTTGAGAAGTTCTACAAAACTGAGGTGATTGGATTTTGCTCAAAATTAATGTTGACCTTCCTGTTCTCATGTTGGTTGTAAATAGTGGTGAACGCTCACTCTTCTTGTTTTGAAAGTGAAATGTCAGCAAAATGGAAAAGCACAAATTTCATAGATTTAGACACCAGTAAATTCTCAATCTCTGGTATTTCTTAATGACAGTATAAAACGCCAAGCAGTTCTGTCTGTGCAGTCGTGTCCTTACAGAATTTCTCTCTCTGGGCTTTGCGTGTGCCATGCCACCACTTTACTACTGAGCTACCCCCTCAGCTGGAATGTGCCTGTTTCTGTTAGCACAGGTGTTGGCTCTGTGGGGAAACTGCTCTTTTAGAAATAACGATGAACTATGTTCTTATCTGGCACCACATAACTGCATAACTACAGATTTGAAAAGCACTTACAACTTACTATTAGAATTTATTATTTTAGTAGTGTTTCATTCCCCTACTAAATGCTGAATTATGTGTGTTTGTTCTTGTAATGGACATTTATAAATTCTTAAAAGAAGCCAGGCAAGCTGACCTGTGGTATACAGGTGCCCTTGGAGTGCTGGGGGGACAGCCCACCCTTGCTGTGTGGAAGGGGTGTGGAGAGCCAGGCTCCCTCTGGTGTGTGTACAATACATACGAAGCACACGCTACCATGCACTGGTCTGTATGTGTCCACCTTTCACCCAGATTGCCTTTTTTGTTCTCTCACCTGCCAGTTACACATGTTTCACTAGCTTACAAATATGTTGGTAGCTGGCTGGTTGAAAGTGCAGTAGAGAAGGAGATAGATTGTCCATGCAAAGGATTTTGCAGATTCTTACAGTAGCTTTTAAATGCCAGCAAGGAGAATAGTGCTGTTTGCAAAGATGGAGAATGACATATATTAGAATGAAGTAGAATACATTAGAAGGAGATATCAGACGGGCCAGTGCTTTTTGTCTTCTCAGTTTCTTAAAATATCAGTAGTTGATGACCCAGGTCCCCCAAATCGGTTTCATTTGATGTTTCCATTTTGGTTTTCAGTGCTGCCCAGCCTCATAGACAGACTGGGAGATTCTAAGGACTCTGTGAGGGAGCAAGACCAGACTCTGCTGCTAAAGATCATGGATCAGGCTGCTAATCCCCAGGTATGGCAAGAGAAGTGTGGGGGACATGGGGACGTGTCTTCTTGCACACACACTGTATGGCTACCTACACTTAATTTTTTCAAACTGATGTATTAGAAGTGGCCATGTTCATAGTGTTTAATCTGCTTCCCCATATAAGTAGCAAGTACATGAATAAGTAGTAAAATACTAGTTTAATCTCCTGCACTTTAGCTCATTTATATGACTGGCTCTCCATTTTCCTGAAAAAAAGTACAGCTAGTGTCTTCGTCTCCTAGTGAGCTGGGCTTACTAGGATAGGAAGATGAAGCCCTATCTTCCAGGGTCCTACTGTTGATTCTAGGCATGGGGTCGGGGTGATCAGCAGGGGCCTTCCCAAAGAAGATAAGACTTAGATTGCCATAAAAGATGACCATGTGTTTCACTTTTACAAGGGTGATATCTTAGTTACTTTCTTGTTGCTGAGACAAAATTCCCAGCACCTATAAATTAAAGGAGGAAAGGGTTATGTCAATTCACAGTTTGTACAAGTTTCACTCCCCAGTCTCTGCTGGCTCCAAAGCAGGGAGGCATGGCAGAGGGGGGTCACAGAGGAGGAACAGCCAGGTTCATGGCAAGGCAGGCAGAAGTGAGGCAGCAAGCAGCAAGTCTCCGCTTCCCTTTATCCCAGCCAGGTTACAAGGGTGCCACCCACACCTAAGCTGGGCCTCCCCGTTGTCCATACCTGTGCTGTGCTGTACCAGCTAGTTCTCACACACCCTAGATCCAGCCGCAGCCTAAAAGCTCCTCCCCAGAGGTCATGAGGCTTTGTGCGGGATCTAGACAGTCTAACTGAAGGGAGGGCCGTGTGAGCGGCAGTGGGCTTTGGCAGGCCACCCGTTCTCCTTTTGGCCTTACTATTCTCATGTATAATACAGAAGCAGCAAAACTTCCTTCTTGGATTGTTGAGAGAATTCTGAGCATTTGTGTAAACTCATGTTGGAATCCTGTAACTTGCTATGTGATAAAATGATAGGAGTCATCATTCCAAATGCACTTGAGAGGATCCAGCTTGTACACGGCCGGGCCATTTTGCACCTGCTAAGAGGTTCCTGTTTGATCCCTTACTAAGTGAAGGGAGGCAACAGTTTTCTCTCTTCTCACCTGTTCTTTGTCACCTGCAGTATGTGTGGGACAGAATGCTCGGAGGCTTTAAACACAAGAATTTCCGCACGAGAGAAGGCATCTGTCTCTGCCTTATTGCAACACTCAATGCGTAAGTCTGGGATGAACCTAAACTTGTAACTTAGCTGAGCTTTTAAAGCAACTTTTATTTTGAATTTATTACAGATTCACAGAAAGTTGCACAGGTGTGTGTTGGGAGATACCGTCCCTCCCCTCTTCCCAAACCAATGTTAATATTTTACATAATGATCATACCAGGAAAGAGATGTTGGTGCAGTTGGCGAGTTATGCACACTGTCCGGGTGTGTCCTGACTGCTGTACACTGCTGATCTGTGCTGTGATTTTGTCATCTCAAGAATGTTGTATAAATGCAATCATAGATTCTGTTACTTTTTTTTTTATGCGGAACTGGGGATTGAACTCAGGCCCTTGCACTTGCCAGGCAAGCTCTTATTCTACTGAACTATCTCCCTAGCCCCATAATTTATTTACTTACTTACTTATTTACTTATTTATTTATTTTTTGTGGTACTGGGGATTGAACTCAGGCCCTTGCACTTGCCAGGCAAGCACTTACTCTTCTGAACCATCTCCCCAGCCCTCGATTCTGTCACCTCTTGAGATTGCCTTTTTTCTCTCAGCACAATTCTTTTCAGGTTGCAGTAATGTTGTTTATGATAATAATAATGTTTTATTGCCGAGTAGAATTCCATTGCTTTTCAAGAGCATTCTGAGCTAGTTTACATAATACACACGAAGAGTGTCTGTGACAGCAGGCTTGTGTGGGAAGCGCTGTAGGTACATGAAGGTCCTCCAGAAGGGGCAGTGTGCAGCTGGCGATGCTGTGGCCACTACCTTGGTCTTGTGGCTCAGCAGCATTAACAGAACATCTGCTCTGCCACAGCACACACGGTCCCTCCGCTGAGGACTGTCCAGGGACATGTAGTCTGGTTGGCTCCCCTAGGTTTGGTAGCATAGAAGGTGTGACCTGACAAAGCAATGACAGAGTCAGCACATTGTGAGGCAAGCGGCAAGGTGCTGCAGGCGAGGCTGGGCTGCCAGCTCAGCTGTGAAGGGGCAGGGCCAGCCGAGGTGTTGAGCTCCATGCAGAGGGGGCCGTCAGGTGCATTTACTCTGGAGCCAGCATTGGGTGGGATGGAGAGGACCTTGGTGTGAAGCGGTCCCGTGAGGGGACAGAGGAAAGGGCGGCTGTGGGAGAGAGCATTGCACTTTTTCAGTAACACTATCCTCTTTCGTTTTTAGCTCTGGAGCACATACACTAACACTAAACAAGATCGTGCCACATATATGTAGTTTACTTGGAGATCCAAACAGCCAGGTGAGTGAGACAAACTCCTAGGAAATATCATTGGTTCAAATGCATTCAAATGTTCTGTGTATGTCTAGTAGGTGTCTGGGGCTTTATTCTTCTTTACAGAGCTCTGATTATTGTTTAAAATATCAGCTACTCATTAATTTATGAAATACTGTCAGCAAGTGTGACCGCCTTTCTTCTACAGGTAGGGTTGAACACTCACTCAGGTAAACGGATGGTGTCAGGCCAGCCGTGAGATAGATACCACTGGTTGCTATTTCTGTAGCCAAAAGGGGTGCAAGTGGGGTAGGGGAGGGTAATTAGAAGGGCACCTAGGGGGACTTTGTGTACTTACTCTGGGTGATGGTGTTGTGGAAAGCCCCTAAACCGCACACTTAGGAAGCTGTGCCTTATACAAGTGAAAAGAAAGGCCTGAGCAGCCTCTCCTAGCGTAAGCGCGTGGGCCAAGTGCTGGACGCCTGCGCTGAGCCGTGCTCTCTGGGGAGGCCCTCTCTCACCCGGCTCAGCTCTCCTCTCCCGGGTCAGTTCTTCTCTTTCTCCCTGCCCCCATTATCTTTTTCTCTCTTTTTCAGTCCTCTTTATTACATAAGCCCATAAAACCAGTCAGGAAGACACTTGAGTAGAGGGACAGAAAGTGTCATTTACAAAAGGCATGTACGCAGTAAACAGTGACTCAGCTTAGGCCTGGCCCGCCAGCTTGCCCTGTAGGAGCCCCGCGGGCTCTCCTTCCGCTTGACTCGTACGGCACTGGGGCCCTCCGGGCCTGCCTGCATCCTCCTCATCTTTCCTCGTGGGTCCGGTAGCCCACAGCATCTCCCCTTCTCTGTGGCGTTTCTTACGCTGCACATGTCTGTTGTCTCCCTTGGTTCCTTTTTACGCGGCCTTTGCTGAAGATGTGTGGCATAGAGATAGTTTTTAGATGTATTCAACACGAGTTGAAAAATGGCTTCAACTCCTTAACACCTGTTCTTCCTACTTCTACTGACTTCAGTCTTGTTTTCTATAGAAAAAACCCTTTATGGAGGTTTCCAGAATGTCACTGCTCCCACACAGTGCCAGGAATCGTGCCAGAAAGTCATCTTGGGCTGGAAAGATAGCTCAGCAGACTGTGAGCCTGCTTAAGCGAGTGCAGGCACTGAGGGTCGATCCCCAGCAGCACAGGCTGTGCTGGCCACACCCCTGGGTGCCCTGAGCCAGCCATGGAGGCCGGGTGCGGTGGCGCATGCCTGTAATCCCAGTGCTGGGGAGGCTGAGACGGGGATCATTACAAGTCCTAGCTGTGTAGTAAGACCCTGTACCAAATACATTAAAAAGAAAAAGAAATGCATTTAAGAAAGTCATCTTGTCTAGTCCCTAATTTGATGCCTCTGTTGGATAGAGCAGTGAACATTTGTACCTGGCTTATGGAGACTGGCAAGCCTGTGGGCAGGGACCAGCTTCCCTAGGTACGCCTCCATGATGTGCTGGGCGCACCCAGCAGGTAGATAGCATTTAGGACTCCCCTAGGACATTGTTTTAGTTTGGGTGGGGCGGGGAGGGACCTCCTGGTGGCCACTGCCTGGTGCTTCTGCATGCACTCCAGCACACTTCCCAGTGTCCCCGTTACCCTTCACTGTCTCTCTTCTGCACACTCACAGGAGCTTCTGCTGCAGCCTGTCTTGTTGGGAGGGGTGCTTGGGCTTGGGAACAAGTGTGAGTGGGGTTAGCAGCTTGATTTTAAAAAGAAAAATTATTTTTTAATTTTTTTATTTTTATGCATTTAGTCCAGGGTCTACAGGGTCTCACTATACAGAATGGACTTGTAGTGATCCTCCTATTTTTAGCCTCCCAAGCTCTGGGATTGCAGGCATGCACCACCATGCCAGTCTCAATGTGCCCTGGGTGCAGGGCTGGCACGCCCACAGTCAAATCTAGTTCCTGTGTCTGCATAAGCAGGCCCTTTTAATCTGCTGAGTTATCTGGGCTGCCCTTGATTTTGGGGTTTGATCCTTAAATTGTGCCTGTAGCGGGTGGGACACCATGCTCCGGGGGTTCCTGCAGCTGCTGACTTATCCAAGGACTCTCCCCTCATGTGTGCTGTGGAAATCACTTACAAATATCCCTCTCTGAGGAGGATCACCAGGAATTTGAAGACAGCCTAGCTACGTAGTGAGACACTGTCTCAGAAACAAAGCAAAGCATATTTTGCTGGCTGAAAGATCCTGTAGGTGTAGAGAAGAGATTAGCTCATAAATCTTGCTAGAGATCTTAGCAAGGTTTTTCTTATTTCAGCAGTAGCACAGATTAAATTTCACTTGATCAGCATAATCTCACATGGTGAAAACATCGATTCCAATTCCGTTGTTGAAGAGAGTAAGGTAGTGTTAAGTGGCAGACAGTTCACAGTAGTGCTCTAAAGCTGCCAGAGTGAGAGTACGCGTGAAACTTGGAGCTGCCTCGCGCAGGGCAGGAAGCCTTTTCTCGGCACACAGGTTAGTCTCGCTCAGGCCTTCATATGTGGCTGCAGGCTGACCTCGGGAGGCATTTGCATGTCGATCTCAGTGTCCTTGTTAGTGAGGGCGGTCGGTCGCAAGTGCCTTGTTCCCCTTCGTTGCGCAAGTGCATGGGGGTGATCCTTTTCAGTTTCTGACACACATTTGGGCCCTCAGCAGATTGTCCCTAAGATTTTCCTTTTCATTTGAAAGAATCGCATACCTGCCACATGCTAGTGGGTTTCTGAGAAACTCTTAGATGTGCATATATTTTAGTATGTGAAAATACTTAATTGTAGGATAATATTAGTGTTTGAAATATATTTGTGACATTAGCATAACCTTACTTTTGTTGTTACCAAATGTTGAGAGTCCTGGTTACAGTATGTACACACATCCATTACTAAAAATCCATGTCGTTATCAGAAGTCAGGTGCTCCTGGACTGATTATTAGTAGTAATAATACAACTTGAAAACCAAAGTTATATCTTCAAATGGAATTGCATCTCACTGTTCTGAGTAACTGTCATAAGGATTGCTTAATTTTCTTCCTTTTTTTGAGGCAGTGTCTCACTATAAAGTTCAGGCTGGCCTTGAACAATCTTCCTGCCTGCCTTCCGAGTACTAGGCAGGTGCCACCATGCCCCTACATGCCCCACCCTCCCCAGTGATGGAGATAATTTCTTTTTTATAAGGTGGCAAACCTTCATAATGCGTAACCCCTTGACAGACAGGGCCATACATTCATGACTGTCCCGTTAGGCAGCTTGTACCACAGGTAGTTCAAGCCTGCAGAAACAGGTTACAAATGCTGCGTTAAGCTGCGAGTCTAGTCACCACTTCCTGAAGCATCTGTCATGTTGTTTGAAGGGTTTTTTTTGTTTTTTTTTTTTCCCAGAACTGGGGATTGAACTCAGGTCCTTATGTTTGCCAGGCAAGCACTTATTCCACTGAGCCCATCTCCTTGGCCCCAATTGTTTGAAGTTTGAATGCCTCCGATTTTCAGCAAGTCATTGTTTGTATTTTCATTTTTCTCCCTCGTGTGTGAAATGAGGCTGGTGCTCTACAGGGAAATTTTAGTATTATGTAAGTAGATAGGAGACATGGCCCTAAGATTCCAGACTCTGAAAATGATAGTTTTCCCTTCAAGTTTAGGTGAGTTTAAATTTGGGAGATGGATGTTTCCCACTTTCTTGAAAGTGTAGACCCTGGCAAGGCTGTGCCTGCGTCTCTTTGTGCCCAGCCTCCACTTCCCTCTGTACTGTGCCAGCAAAGGCCCTTGCCGGGGCCCGAGTCACCCCTCGCGGAGCCTGCTCCCCTCGTGCCGCGCACGCCCTGGGCCTGTGTGGGATTTCCGTTCATTCTCACCTGGTAAGCTCTCACGTGCTGGTTGAATGGAGCCATTTTTTTTTTCTTTCAGCCCTCATGGTGTCCCTGAGAGTAGGAGGAGGAAACTAAGATGAAAAGAGTTAAAGTGTTGTTTGCAGGGTCACACAGCTCCCTGGTGGCCAAGTAGATGCTTTTGTCTACTTCCTTGGTTCTGAAAATGATAATTCTTCCACTATTCTGCTCCCTGTGGAGATGGTTACTGAAGATTAAATCCAGGGCCCTTGTGCTGAACCACATCTCACTGCCCTTGTTCATTTTTAATTTTGAGAAAGTGTCTTGCTGAGTCTCTTTAAGTTGCCCAGACTGGGTTTAAAATTGCAGTCCTCCCACTATTAACTGTTTGAGGCTCAAATCTTGAGAGTAGCCAACTAGATACAGATTGCTCTTTAAGAGGACCACGCAGGGTGATGGGCAGGAGCGACCCCTAGAAAGTGCTGATGATGCCCTCATTATTGGCCTTCGTGGCGCGGTGCCTTGACTACTTTCGTAGTACATGCTGGTTTTTATGTGACGATGTTTGTTTAAAAATTATTTTTTCTCTAAAATAATTGATAATGTTCTAGACAGCTCTGGCTGCCATAGCAAAACACTGTAGACTGTGTGGCCAAAGTAGTGAAATTCATTTTCTCCCAGTTCTGGCATCCAAAAGTCTGAGATCTGGATGACAGCGTGGTGGGATCCTGGTGAGGGCCTCTTCCTGTGGGCAGCAGGGCCTCTCCTTTGTGTGTGCACAGCTCTGTTTCTCTTATAAGATCAGACTATAAGATCACTCTTTGCAGGGCTGTCCCTTCGTGGTCTCATGGAGCCTTGATTTCCTGCTTCAAGGCCCTTGCCCACTTATGGTAACGCTAGGGGTGAGAGCTCCACCGTTTGAATTTTGTTGGACACAGATCGTTCCTCAGCATCACATTTTCCAACAGAAGGGAGAAAATGATGAATAAAGTTCTGTGGCATCGGATGCTGGGAAATTCTTTGCATGCCTAAGATCTCCCGCTTGCCTTTACTGTCCATTACGTTAATTGCCTTTCTCGAGACCCAGTCTAAAATCACACTGTTGCTCAGCTGTGCTTCCTAAGTGACGTGCGCACAACTTCTTCCCAGCACCACCTGGCCTGCATTTCACTCCTAGTAAATTATTTTTGTCCCTATTTTTATTTGAAGGGGCCAGGGAGATGGCTCAGTAGAATGAGCACTTGCTTGGCAAGCACAAGAGCCTGAGTTCAATCCCTGGTTCTGCTAAAATCAATCAATCCACTGAGCTATTGGACCTATTTTTTTAAATTTTATTTATTTATTTGTGTGTGTGTGTGTGTGTGTGTGTGTGTGTGTGTGTGTGTGTGAGACCAGCTCAGCCCACCAGGGGGCAGGGCTGGCTGGCATGTGGTGCTGGGGGATTGAACCGCGGTCCCTATGCTTTGCTAAGCTTGTTCTAAGTAGGTGCTTTAGACCACTGAGCCATCTCACCAGCCCCTATTGGACCTATTTTTTTTGAAAAATTTTAAACTTATAGAAAAATTAAAGAGTAATATCATGAGCACTCACATTTAGACCTAACATTTGTCACATTGGTTTCATCTGTTTGTGCACATACCCACACATACACAACTGTATGTGTTTTTCTAAACTATTGAAAGGTGACCCACATAATATTTTTACCTCTAGAAACTTTGGTGTTTCATCTGATAGCAAGGTTTTAACAAATATAACCATGTCGTTTTACACCTCGAGGAATGCAACATTAATATGTGGTATTGTTTGATGTTCACTCCCTATTGAAATTTCTCCCAACTAAAGGGGAGACGGGGAAGAGCAGTTCTGTTCCTTAAGCCATATTCTTGCTGCCTTCTCAGCGCATGTTGCTGTCTGCCCGGATGGGTGTTCCTGTCTTTCCTGAAGCCTGTGCTGGCCCCTCTGCTTTTGTGCCTTTGTCCAGCCTGTCATACCTTGTTTGGAGCCTGGGCCTGTCTTATATTCCACGTGGACCTGGCAACAGCCTGTCTTTCCAGGCATTTTTCAGGCAGTCCTTCCTGCCCCCTTCTGTGAAGCATTTTCTGACATTTGCTCCTGCGCTTGCTCTTCCTTTCTGCTGTACTCTTTGTGCTTTTGACAGTGTTTGTTGCCTCCTGCTCAGTATTAAATGTGAATCTTATGGACATTTTCCTTGCCCATCTCAGGACTGTGAGCTCACTGAGTATGGAGTTTCTGTTGTCATCCTGTTCATGTTTGCTGCACACTGAATATTTTGTTTAATAGACTTAAATACAGAGTATTTTACATGATGTTTTGTGCTTACTATGACTCGTATATTTGTAGTGTTTTTTTCTGTTTTGGAAAGATGATCTGAAAATTCTAATTTCCTGACATTGTGAGGAATGGCAAGTGCTAAAGGGTGTGGACTTTAACACGTACATAGGGGTAGACACCTCCATTTCTTTCTGCCTTTGGGAACTGTGTCAGTGGAAGGAGATGGTCAAACACGACTGCATAGTCCACTATAAAGGGGTTACTTGTGTAGGAGCACTGGTGTGTTGGTGATAAATTGGGGTGGCACGTGGCCTGTTGTGTCCCAGCAGGAAGTGCTAGGAAATGATATGGAGCATCTATAAGATCTCTTCTCTTACATCTAGGTGCGAGATGCAGCAATAAACAGCTTAGTGGAAATTTACAGACATGTAGGAGAACCTGTGAGGACAGATCTCAGTAAAAAAGGATTGCCACAGTCCCGGTGAGTGCAGACTTTTTCCTTTTTTCTACTTTTTCCCTTACTCGTTTTCAGGTATGACCTTGGTCTTTACTACTATTTCTGATGTAATTTTATTCAATTTCCATGGCTAGAGGGTTGGTGTTTGGAGGTCTTGGCCAGATCGTACGTCTGTGGTTCCTTTCCCCTCAAAAATAAGTTTCTTGTGCAGACATCTGGCTGAGTCCTGTGCCTCCTCCTGACTTGGGAGCACCTTTAAAAGTGCTTAGTGTTGGAACATTCAGCACTCTTCCTCCTTTACTCTGCATGGTGCTTCGAATAGTAGGTACTTAGAATGTATTTGTTGGAATGGAGCCTTTCTAGAATGCATCTGGCTAGAAATACATAAATAATCATTCTGGAAAATATCTTTGAAATGTTTCAGTTTGAACAATGCAGCACAAGGAGGGCATCTGCACTTTACCAGATCTAAGACAACTTGAGTCCACAGGGATTCATAATTTTTAAAGTAATGGAACAGTTGGACATCTGTCATTTTAAGTTTGTTGACTAAAGAGTACCACATGAATTCTAAACCTTTGCCATACACTGTTGCTTTAAGAGAAAAAGTGATGTGGAATTGCAGGTCAGTCAGCACGGCAGTGTAGCACACAGTGGCTTGTCCCACCTGTCCCTGGTCTATGCGGACAGCAGCTACCCAGAGACATAAGTTGACTTTTGAGAGACTGCACAGCGAGTGAGAGCCAGAGACAAGATTGAAACCTATCTTTCAGACTTGCCTTTCAAGTTTCCCAGCCCTGTTTCATCAGAGTTGACAGAGGTGGGGTGGAGCACTGAGGTGGTGCACAGGAGGCATCTGTCTTGGTGTCCACCAGGCTGTCGTGAAAGTGGGCAGGGTTTTCCTGCTGTAGAGTCAGACCCAGTCACAGTGCTATTCTCACTGTGGCTACTGTGCTGTGCGCAAGATAATTATAGAAATAAAAGTGCTTTTCATCTGTTTAATCAAAGATAATCTCGGGGCCTGCTGGTTAGCTCAGTTGTTTAAGTGCCTGTTTATGCAAATACAGTCAGGAGCAGGATACTGTGGTTGGATCCCTAGCCACATGCCTTACCAGACCTGCCCTTAAGGCAGCCTGAGCCAGCCAAAAAAAAAAAAAAAACCTCAACTTTTAGGGGCCAGGGAGATAGCTTAGTAGAATAAGTGCTTGCCTGGCAAGTGCAGGGGCCTGAGTTCAATCCCTGGTTCCACAAAAGAAAAAAAAATAATAATAATCAAAGATAATCTGTGAAGCTGGAGTTACAAATTGACCATCCCTAGTCTGAAAATCTGAAGTACTCTGAAATCTAAAACTTCGGTGTTTGTGCTGAATTGGGAGAGTTTATGCATCCCCCCAAAATAAAACAAAAACAAAGCCAAAAAACCCCAAGAACCCCCAAAACCTTATGTGACATCGGAAGTACTTTTCTCCCAAGCACGTCATGGGGTGGGGGGACTCAACCTGTGTGTATCTGTGATGTTTGAAGCTTAGCCTTCTGGTCACTGAGTATATGGTGAAAACACTTAGGTGTTAGAAGAACTTAATGACAGTACTGACGATCTGTGGGAAAACTGGAGGACACAGCTAAGCAGAGAGGGCTGTTGAAAGATGAAGTCAGCGCTGCTTCTTTCCTACGGTGTGGTTCATGGTGGCCTATGAACTACCATCTTCTATAGTTTTAACCTTACACAGGGGCTCGCTGTGCACTGTTGGAAAGTAACTGCAGCAAAGTCAGCAGTAGGGGAAGTGACCCAGAGAATCCAAGACCTGGATAGTGGGTACTGAAGGCCTGAGATCACTGGGCCTCAGAGCCAGGTTACAAGGCTGGCCCCAGGCTTGCAGCTGCAAACTTGGGTTTGGGGAAGACTACCTGCATTCCCAGACAGGGGTTGAAAGAAGCTCACGGTGTTCCAGCTGGACAGCACTGTGTTGTTTGAGCTGCACACCTGCTATCCTTCAGGAGCAGGAGGTATCGATGTGACCAGCCTGGGTACCATCTCTGAGCAAGTTTCCTGGTAGACAGCGTGTCACTCATGTCATCGCAGTGCTGTGCTGAATGATTTAAGCATGTTTTGTATGACTCCCTAAAGAGAGAGTCTAGAGACTGCCTGGTCTTTTCTGACTTCCTCCCAGACTGTTTTCCTCTTGGCCACTTGTTCTCTGTGTCCTTTTTCTATAATAAATCATGGCTGTAGGTATGACTGCGGAGTCCCATGTGTTGTCCTGGTGAAGCATTAATTAGGTGTTCAGATAGGATCCCAGAGGTGTTGCTGCCAGAGTGAGGCCTGAAGCTCACCCAGCTTCCCTCTGTAGACACTTAAGAGTTGATAAGGCATCCGCAGAAGAGGTCAGATTTTGGAATAGGATTGGAGGTTTCACTCAATCATGTTGCCTAGAATCTTTACTAAAAATTTGGTACAGAAATAGAGAAGAAACAGGGAAATGGCCTTCATAGCTATTGTTGTAAAAGTCTGGCAGACACAAGTGCCTGGAAAGCTGTTCTTTTCACACTGTATTTAATGACTCTTTACACTTTGTGTATATTCCAAGGCCATAGTCTAAGATCTGATACTGTGACGGTCAAGGATGTGATTGATACCTTTGTTTTGTTGGGGTTGTACATAGATAGAATGGGGCTTTTGAAGTGTCGTACCCTGGCTTGGGAAACTCAGTATCTGGTGTATTGTGGCTCCATGTGGCTGCTTGTCACACCTCACTAGGGGTTTTTGTTATTTTGTGGGCATATTGGGTTTTCCAGGTTAGCAAAATCCTGTAGTATCAATAGAATACTGAGTAGGATGTAGTCCCAGAATAAAAGTCTTAGCCTCCTAAGAAGTTGTTTATGGAAAAAATCACTGTATTTGAGAAGATAAAAAGAATGTTGTATTATGAACTAAATGATTTAAAAAAGAATAGTCACCTCATTTGAGCAGCAATTTTCATTATTCATTTGTTGTGTGATATGGAAAAGGAACACATACTAAACAGCTTGACTTGGGAGGAACCAGAAGTAGGGCTTGGGGCCCTGGCTTAGGTTGTTATTTGAGTCTTTGTTATTTGGTAGATAAAATCATATTGAGTTCGATAAGGTAGTAATAGCCAGCTGGAACTCTACATTGGAGAATCTCCATCCACATGAGAGCCCGCGGAGCAGTGAACTTGAATCAGTATTTTACATGTATTAGGTTTTATCATTCATGCATGAAATATATTCAGAAATTAAGCTTATAATTAACTTATAGCTAGTTATACGTATGGTGTTCTGTGGGGCAGCCTCACGCCTTAATACAACGTAAATCACCTGTGACTTCCTTTCAGCACAATTCAGCATTTACTCTTACCCCAGAGATTCTCTCGGAAGGTAATTTCAATTAATGTGGTATATTTTAGTTTGCAAAGCTTTGCAAAAAGATCAAATCACTGAAATTCAATTTGGGGCGTCCTACTGTTTAGTAACCAAGCTCCTAAAGCAACAACAGTTTTTAGCCTGAGGATAATTCAGTTACAGATGCAACAAGTACTTTCTATCTCGTTCATTGTGATTATTGGGTAAAGTTACTCTTTGAATGTATGTTTCTGAGCAGATATCCTAATACTCGCTCTGTTGCTCTCTCAGCCTATTTAAAGCTTACATTCACTCTGGACATCATTGCATAATGATTGCTTTCAAAAATTGAAGGTTTCTTTTTTTAATTTGCTAAAGCTTTAGTGTTAGGACTCACGGCAAAAGCAAATGAGAAATTGCTGTCATCCATTCTTATTGAAACTAATTTTTATCATAATCATTTCTATAGAGAGAATCAACCAGATTTAAATGTATTTATAAAAAGGCAGTGCCTTGCCACCTTTGCCATTTTTGTCTCAGAAGCACTGTCAACTATTTTTGTTATTTCCTGCTATTCAGTAATGATATACATATAAGCATAATTTAATATACATAGATTATTTCTGAAATCTTTTAATCAGAGAGACAGAGCATACCATGCTGAGGATCAAGCCTAGGGCTTCACATACACTAGCAAGCGCTCTGCCAGGACTCTGTACCTTCCACCGCCTAACCCCTCTTGAAATCTTACTTTGCACTGTGGAACATGGATTTCAGCTATCTGTCCTCTGAATGTTCTTCATGCACATTTTCCATCTCATTTACCAAATGTACATGTATTTTCATTTTGGTTAGAACGATTTATACTGTCGTAATATCAGCTGTTCTAGTTCTCTATCGATACTTGGTACACTATGATTACTTTGATTTTTCTCGTGATCTGGAGCCAATCATTTATTTTCATTTACATAGTGGGCTGTGTACTATTCGCCCACTAGGACCTAGCATACTAAGCTCTGTGTCAAGTTGTGCAAGTCTCCTTCAGCCTGTTTGGTCCGTAGTCCGATCCCTCCTTCTTAGCATCTTAGGAGCCGTCAGCTCACATTTCTGCACAGCTGCCTGTGCGTTGGCTTCACTTCTCTGTGGGCACATTCTGAGAGACCAGACCTTTCTCGGTTTACTCTCTCATTTTACGTCTGCATATCTAGCCTTCTGAGCAAAGTCTGGTGAAGGAAGATTCTTTTTTACCTGAGAATGTCTTTTTGCTTCCTTTCATTCAGGGAATGAAAATGTAGTTTGGAAACTATTGACCTCCAGAGCATTAGCGCTTGTCTCCCTTTCTCTGTACCTATTGGAATGTGCAAAGCTGCTCCGATTCTTCTTCCTGTGTAGATAACTTTGGTTTGCCTTGAAGGATGGTAGTGTCTGCTCTCTTTTTGCATAAACAGCTAGAGTGTTAATAGGAATCACTTTGAATTTGTAAATGAATTTGAGGAATATTGTCATCTTAATATTTAATCTTCCAATCTGTGAATGTAGAATGTTTTCAGTTTTTAGGCTTTAATTTTAGCAATTGTTTTGTAGCTAGAAAACTCAAATTAATAAAATTTTTGAAAAGACAAACTAAGGATGATAAGTGCATGTACTGAACAATTACATGCTCCAAGTCAGATGCTGTGTGTGCTGGCCTATGCCTCTGTGTGGCAGTCAGGTTTCACCTCTGCCTTCGCTTTCCCTTTCCATTTGTGTGGTCTCAAGGTCAGCCAGATGGGAGATATTTGTGCCCTTGAGGGTCTCTCTTGGGCATGCACACAGCCTTGTGCAGGAGCGTGGCCTTCTAGGTTCTCAGAAATACATAGCTGCGTTGAAAGTTTCTTGTGATCATCTCATTCCCCAGCTTTTCTTTTTCACCTTTTGGACAGCTTTTTGCCCTGGTATATTGTCATTTTAGGCAGCCCCCAAGTTGAATAGTTGTTGCTGATTTGTGTCAGTCATGTCTTGGGGGTACAGGTCTCATGCAGGGTATCTTAGTTATTTTTTTGCTCTTGACACCCAAAGTCAAAGGAAGAAAGGTTTATTTCAGCGCACAGTTCATAGGAGTTTGAGTCCATAAGTGGCTGGTTCCAAAGCAGAGTGGTGTGGCGGAGGGGCAGGCATTCATGTATGGTGTGCCAGCAAGTGCCCAAAGCCTCAAGCAGCAGCAGCAGGCCTGCATTCTTTCTCTCCCTTTTATTTCTTCCAGTCTGTAAGCTGATTGGCGCTCCCTCCCCACAGCATGGTGCTTCCGTTCTCCACCCTCTTAGTCCCAACATCACACCCTTAATCCTCATTCACGGTACTCTAATTCAGCCACCTTTGACACTTCCCATGTAGGGCTTCTTGAGGCTTTGGGGAACGTCATCTATGCACAGCCTTCACCCAGGAATGCTCTGAGTCAGGCTGAGGTGACGAGCTGTGAGTGGTCACCTCAGCCGCCTCTGGTGGTGGTCCGGGGTAGGGCATCTTGGGAGAGACCCAGACCTGCTGGGCTCCTTCCAGCATCCTGGCTTCCACACTGCCAAAACTGCTAAGGCTGTGGGCTCTTAGCTGCCCCGCTGGGGACAGGAACATGGCACACCCAAGCAATGAAAAGTTCAGTTACTGAAGTTCAGCCCTTTGGCTTGAAGAAACATGGCTCAAGTGTTTCAAGCCTTTGTTCGATATTTAGAGTATTTAAGAAGTTGATTGTCAAAGGCTTTGCCAATATTGTTTTTGATTCTTTACAGCACTGGATTTTCAGATGGCCTTATGCCATTGTTCAGGGCTTCTTTTCCACTTGCTTCACCATTGCAGCATTTTCTTTATCTCCATGGAAGTATTAGATACAGTTATCAAATTTTTGTCTTCACGGTCTGTCTTGTGAATATGTTTGGTTAATTTGATCCTTTTCATATTAGACTCTGTCCATATTATAGCCCTTGGTACTTGTACTTAAGAGTGTGAGCTAAAATGGTGGCGGAAAGTTCTGCGTGTTTCCATGGTGCTTACTGACTGGGATACTACCTGCACTTGCTTCCAGGGAATTATTTGAAGTTTATTCTTTGTCTTATAACATTTTCTAGAAGAAAATTAATTAGATACACCTTTTAGTAAAATGATTTCCATGTATGTGTGTTGAAGAATTTAATGTAAACATTCAAAATCAGAAAAACTAAGGGAAATGGTAGTGGTTATTTGTCAGATTTGGGAAGAAATTTTCCTTGTATTGTTGGGAATACTGGAGACTGGACTCAGCTGAATATGTGCTCTTCTGCTGAGCTATACTTCCAGCCCCAAGAAGCTTTAAAGTGATAGCCAAAGATTTAAAAGAAAAAAATTGGTAGCTTCAGAGGCTATCAGTAAGTATACATTGTCTTTAAACATAAAAAACTCACCTTTGTAGATTTGTGTATAGTGATGACTTCGAAGAGAAGCATTTTGCATTGCTGTGCTTGTAATTAGCAGGGGAAAAAAAAGCCAGACCCTCCATTCATCTGAACTTTGTGTGGGTATTAATCTGTTGTAAAGCCAGGGTCCTGATATTTTGAGATAATTGAGAAGAGAATGAGCACCTAATGATATCTGACTGTAAAAACAGAGGCAAAGGCGTCCTGCCTGAAGGAATCCTGAGGAAAGGTGCAGGTGCTTACTACAGTGACCTTTTCAGGGTTCTCGTGCCTGGTTGTGGTGAGTATGGCCACAGTGAGCAGACCTCACACTGATGGGGGCGTGCAAGTTCTTTTACATTTACTGTTTACAATTGAGCTTGCTCTCAGTGGGATGAAAGAACACTTGCCTTCTTCCAGTGGTGACACCAGACTAGAAGTACACTGCATTGCTACCTTGAAACTCATAGGCAGGCTCACATCAGCGGATGTGGCTGTGACACAATAAAGTGACACATGAGGGCCTCCCTGGCAACCTGTGAGCTTGCTGAGCCATTGGAGATCTTTGTTATTTAAAAGGGAGGATAATGGAAACATCTTAAGAAATTGATTCTAAGGCGTCTTCCCAGATCTTCCAAAGTCAGGAACTACAGGATTTGAGTGTGAGTGATAGTCCTACTCATACCTGGTCCTGATTTGGCAGTTGGAGTTTTATTTCAGTGTCCACTTTGATTTATTTCATAATGGTTGTCTGAAGCAATTTTGAGAGGAATTCTGAGGCTGTAGCTGGGTGTAGATGGAAAAACAGCTTGAAAAGATTATCAAAGATTATCAGTATCTCATATGTGATGGGAATGGGAAAGCGCATGGGTTTGTCAGGCTGGCTTATCCCTTCATTTTGTTCGTATTTTGGCTTCCTTATCACTTAGAAGTTAAGCTCTAGAGGGTAGGAACCTTATCCATTCAGTGTCTAGCTAGCTTGGAGCTAGACACATAATGGACACGCAAGTAATGTTAAATGAACAAGTGAATTAATGATCAAGCAGGTGTGAAGATGTTAAAGTGTCCTGGAGTGAAGTCGGTCAGTTTAGGTACTAGCTTTCTGATACCATAAAGCAACCCTCCTGAAGGATTCTCTGTGCTTGGTACGGATACCAAAAAACATAAATCCCAGCTTAACCCCTAAGTAAGAGTTTCCATTCTGGTTGAGAAGAAGAGGCAAATGTGAAATGAGTACAGCTCACAGGGCAGAGGAGTGTGTATGAGTTACTTTTCTCTTGTTGCTGAGACAAACTACCCGAGACCCAAAATTAGGGAAGGAAAGGTTTATTTTGCTCATAGTTTGTGCAGGTTTCAGTCCGTAACTAGCTGGCTCCAAGGCAGAGCGGCATGGCAGAGGGACAGCAGTCCACAGCAGCAGAAGACAGACAGCAGTGAGAGACCACGCATCTTTTCCTCCCTCGTATGCTAAGAGGGCTTCCTCCCCTGGGTGGTGTAACACTCACACCATCTCCGTGCCCTCCTCTTGCACAGGCTCAGGATATTTATGAAGTGAAGACCCTGGTCCTGTGCTGAATCACTTAAACTGATAAAATCCTCAAGTTGACACTGTATCAACCATTATAAGTGTGTAAAAAAGTGTTAAGTAAATACTTTTGTGGCAGAGGTGGATGGCATTGGTTTGAATTCAGAGTACTTTGCTTTAGAATCTCACCCTTTGCAGGTACTCCAGGATATTTGTTTTGCCTGGAAAAGGCTCTTTTAACTTTTCTGTGAGGTCATGTTATACTTCCCTTACCTCTAGTTTTTGGTGTCACTAGATGAAATATTTTTTCTAAATAGGAGTTTTGCTCATGTCAAGGTGAAATGATCCATTATAAATGTCATGCAGATTTTTTAGACTGAAGATTTTGCAGTCACAACATTTATTTCTGGAGAAATTACAGCATTTTGAATTAAGTTGAAGTCACAAAATCCTTTTTAATTTGATATTAAGTGCATTTTTAAAAAGCTTTATCCAAGGTAACTGACAGTCTGTGATTAGAAAGAGCAGAACACACTTCTAGGGTCCTACTTACATTCTGTGTGGAACAGGCACATTGAACACTGAGCACAGAGCGCTGGGTCCCTCTGGGCGGGGCTGGAGTCCCCTCCTCAGGAGGGAATGGGTCGTGGCTTCCTTCACTGCGTCCTGAGGCTGCGAGAGCGCTAAATGTGGCCTTCCAGAGCGTGGCCTCCCGCAAGTGCTGCCCCTGCCAGGTGCTCGGCTACTGGGGGCTGTTGGCAGCGGTCCTGGTAGAGTCACTTGTTTCAAGTGAGTTTGTATTATTGATAACTTTTTTCAACTTCGTGCTAATGCTTATAATTGACTTGATAATTAGTAATTTATATTTTAATATATACATATATCTTTTTTCATATAGGTTGAGTGTCATTTTTACAAAATTTGATGAGGTCCAAAAATCTGGAAATATGGTACAATCTGCAAATGGTGAGTAGAAAAAGCAGTTGTATTTCTGTTTTGGTTTTATGTTGATAGAGCTTGTATTATTTCTTTCTTTTTTTTTTTTTTTTTGTGGAACCGGGGATTGAACTCAGGTCCTTGCACCTGCCAGGGAAGGGCTTACTCCACTGAGCCATCCCCCTGGCCCAAGCTTATATTATTTCTAAGCAGCTGAACTAGGTATTTTAGTAAAGGCTTTGAGGTCTAAGGATTTAAACTTCATTCTCCTGTTTTCACAGGCCAGAAACTAAGGAGTAGTTATCACTGACTTTGTTTCATAAGCTTCATTGAGTCTGTTACCTAGCCTGTCACTGTCACTGCTGCTGCCTTCCTGGTACAGGCCACAGTGGCATTTTACAGGAGTTTTGGCAGAGCCCTCCAATCTGTTTCCTTGTGTCTCTTTCCCACACCCAAAACCTGTTTTTCTGATAGTAAACAGTAATTTTGTTGTTCTTATTATTAATGTATTTAGTACGGGGTCTCACTGTACAGATCAGACTCGTAGCAATCCTCCTGTTTTCAGCCTCCCAAGCGCTGGGATTACACGTGTGCACCACCATGCCCAGCCTCAAATTGCTGGGGTGCGGCCGGCCCAGCACAATGGGGATTGAACCCCGGTCCTTGCACCTGCCTAAGTAGACACTTTAGTCCAAAGAGCTATCTGACTGGCCCAGTAATCCTTTTAGAATGTAAAGCAGGCGCTGTTCCTCCTGTCCACATGCACACCCAGACTATAATTTAGTGGGTCCCAGACTACCATTCTTATGTCATTCTTTCTGTCCTTACTGAAAGTTCTCTGCTCCTACCACACCTGCAGAGTTTGGCCTGCTCTTGCTGCTTGGAACACTGAGCATCCTTGTTTCCAGAAGTGTTTCCCCTTCCTGAAACACTTGCCACTTGGCATCTGTCGCTATGGCCTCTTCCCTCCTGCATCCCTAGGCTGCAGCAGAGCTTCCTTCAAGAGGCACCCCAAGCAGCAGTCCTGGTGTTCTGCCCTCACCCCACTTGGTGGTTCTGATTTGCATGCATTTGTCCCCTTTATTTCTCTTTGTTTCCTCTTAGTATAAGCCAAGTCTTTTAAAAACTTATTTATGTGGAAGTTTTTGTTGAATAAAAACAAAATGATTGTGAAGTGAATTGCAGCCTATTTCGAGTTCCTGCTTTGTGATGATATATGAAGCTGGGTGACTAATTCTTGTGATAATAGAAGGGAATGAAAAGATAAGAGTAAATCATGGTGAAGAATGAAACACCACTGATGAGAAAGTCAGTTCCTAACAAGAACTTTTAAAAATTGGCATCATGGGGCCGGCCAGATAGCTCAGTGGAGTAAAAAGCACCTGCTTAGGCAGAGCGCAGCATCCGGGGTTTGATCCCTGGCGTGCAGAGCCAGCCCTGCCTGCAGGGTGCGCAAGATGGTGATTGAAACTGAGCGTGGTGGTGCGTGCCTGCAGTCCCAGCACTCAGGAGGCTGAAAACAGGAGAATCGCTACGAGGCCGAGCTATGTAGTGAGACCCTGTAAACCCCGTAGTAAACACATTAAACAAAACAAAACTGGCATCATAGCTTTTAAAATGTTGTTAGTATGACAAATTATAGCATCCTCTGCTGATTTTTAAGATCTTGAAATGGTTAAAAAAAATTGAGTATTTGGTGTATAAGGAAAGAACAGGCGACCGAACCCAGGGCTACGACCCTCGCTCTGCAGCGTCGACACCATCATTTCTAAGAAACCTTTCTCTGGTGTTTCTTACACAATGCTCGTTGTGCTGAAACTGCTTTAGCTAATTCCCTGGGTTTTTCATTTGACTATAACATTAAATGATACAGAAGAAATGATTCATATTTACCACAATTTAGCCATCACTAATAATTTTTCGGGGGAACTATCCGCTCGGGTCCCCCTCCTGTCCCTCTCTTGGACAGGAGCTTTGTTTCTCACAATAAATATATATATTTAAAAAAAGAATAATTTTTCATTTTTACTTATATTCTCATCCATTTTTGTACCTGTGTAATATGTACATAGTTTAATCATAGCATATTTTTCTCTATTTTATTTTGTACTTTCTGTTGGGGACAGGGCCTCACTATGGGTTGTTTAGGCTGGGCTGCACCTCACTTTTTCACCCAGTCTGGCTTTGAAGTTGGGGCGATCCTCATGTCTCAGCCCTCTGTGTACAGAGATTACAGGCATGCACCGCCATGCCTAGCCACCTTGTGTATTGATTGGCATGTGCTTTATGTAGACTGCTAAGATTATATGACCAGCGGAGCCAGGGCCAGAGCTGTGGTGTCTGAGTGTATGTGCTGGTGATGAGTGGGTGCGGGGCTCCCTGTTAGCTGCCGGACAACATGCTCACCTTTTGAGTGCTTGTGTGGTTTATGTGGTTTCTTAGTTTTAAAAATTGTTGTTACTGAGAAAGTGCTGGACAGTGGAAGTTGTAGTAGAAAAGGGAGTTGGTACTTTGTATCCTACACACAGTGTGAGACAGAATTCCATTACTGTGCCATCACTGGAGAAAACCCTGCCTGTGTCGGGGCCTTGTGCAGGAGAGTGTGGGCTTCCCTGAACGTGACCTGTGAGATGTGAACAGTGACTGCCGAGCCACGTGGCACTGGGTACATTTCAACGTTTTATTCTAAATGCTAGGTGTAAATATTACCCCAAAACTTCATTGCATGTCTGCACGTGAGCTGTGTGTCTTTGTATGTGAATCTGGGCTTCAGGGTAGGCTTAAGATAAAATAGTTCTTTAGTCATCTGTGTTAAAAACAGCAAGCAATAAGAGAGCCTTAACTTAAAATTTCTTAGGAGTGTTTAACTTCAGGACTGTATTTTGTATATGTAGGATTTTAATTTTAGAGACAATGTTTATCACAGTATAAAAAGTAATATACCCTGGTTTCGCGAAAAAAAAAAAAAAAAAAGTGTAATGTAAAGAACTTCGCTGTTTGCCTAGACTATCAACACAGGTTACAGGATCTCAGGATAAATCCTGAGGGGATTTCACTGATCTTATCAGACCCAAATGCTCCAGCTCTTGTTGCATAGGTCCTGCTTTACCTTGGTCTTAACCATCTAGCAGAAAAGTGTAAAAACGAAGTATAAGAAGTAAAGCCATGGTGTTATGTTGAGCTGTAGGGGACTCAGGTCAACAATTTCTGACATTGCCAGTCAAGCGGAAGACCCAATACTATTATGTGCTACTGGACTCTTTTAGAATATTTTGCTGAGTTTACACACCTATAATATTCAAATAACGGAACTTAACAAAAAAAGGGATACAGATGAATGTCCATTTTGTATCTGTATTCAAAGTGGTTGGGATAGATATATAGTTACATTCTCTTAATGAATAGAGGGATTTCTTCTAATGGTGTTTGTAAATAGGATATCATGTCCGCATCTTGTGCAACAATTAACCGCTAGGAAGAGTGTACGCAATGTGTTAATTATTGAAACTGTCCTACCAATATGATTTGAAACTGTCTCATTGCTATTTGTTTATCAATAAAATTATGGAAAAAAAGTAATGTAAATGCATATGTATAAAGAATTTTCAAATCCCCAACCAAACTTTAGTATTTTTACAGTAACTTTGAGAACTCGGATGTCTAATAGCTGTTCAAACCAAAGCACCTAATTTCTTTCTTTACTAAATTCATTAAATATTAGAGTGGCACAGAAAAACTGAAGGAGTCATGGATAAAATTCTTCCCCCTTTCCAGTTTTGTTCCTCTGTCACTTGGAGCGCAGCCTCTCCAGGAGCGTCTGGCCATCAAGCCTTTGCAGTTTGGCTCTCTCTGATGTCACTCACCCTCTGTTTTCACCATTTTGTTTCTTGCTCAGCTTAGATTGTGACCAGAAGTTTTCTACATACTTACGTCACCTGCACATAGTGACAGCTGTGATCTTCCAGATCCCTGTGCTTTTAAAATTTCTTTTGTCTGTCTTACCACATTAACTAGAACTCCCAACACTGTGTAAAATAAAAACTAAGACTGGATGTTCTTGGCTGCTCCTCATCTTGAGTCTCTCATTTGTAGGTATCAGTTTATTTCTCTTTTGTTACTTGTACTATAGTATCATACCTAAGGAGTGATTTGTCTGTTTTTTTGGGTTTTTTTCCATGATAAAAGGAAAGAAGAAACTGGCTGCCTCTGGCTTTCTTTCTGCCTTCTGGGCTCTGGCTTCTTGGTCTCCTCATTTTGATTCAAGCTTGGTCCCCTGTCCCCCAGCTTCTGACCAGATCACAGTCTTTTTATAAATGTTTTTCTCTTGTCCAGATCATGCCTCAAAGTTATAACATTATGTAGGGCACCTGCCTGTCTGACATTTATCTGTACATACTTGAGACATTTATCTAAAATCACATTTTTATGCTGCTTTCTTTTTTGGTTGTTTTGTTTTTTGAGACAAGGTCTTGCTGTGTAGTTCAAGCTAGGCTTGAGCTTACTTTTGTAGCCCAGGATGGCCAGGAACACGCAGCAGTCCTCCAGTGTCACTTCCCAAGTGCTGGGATGACATGTATGCGCCACCACACCTGGCATACTGTACTATTCTTAACTTGGAAGACAAAAATGCAAAACAGTAACCGCATGCTAAGATGTGTAAAAGCTTTTATTTAGAGACTTGCTTTCAGTTCTTTTGAGTGTATATGTACATACCTAGGATTGGAGTTCTGGTTCACATGGTAATTCTCTTCAACAGACTGAGCAACTACCAAACTTTTTTAAATACTATTTATTTATTTGTTTATAAATAAATAAACTCAGCAGCTCAGACTTACAGTGATCCTCCTGTCTCAGCCAGCGCTGGGGATTACAGGCTTGTGCCACCATGCCCAATTTGGGAGCCAGCATGGCATGCCCGAGGCTCCGGGGCCAGCATAGCATCTGGTACCGAGATCAGACTCACGTCCTTGCCCTTGCCAGGCAGACACTTAGGCCACTGAGCTATCTGCCCAGCCTACCAAACTGCACCA